AGCTGGGCGGCGCCTGCTACTTGCGACGGGGCGCGGGTCCTCAGCCGAGGTCCACTGCGTAGAACCCCCAGCAATGTGTCATCGCCACCTCCACGAACATTGATATGAACAAAGTAGAAAGCCCGAAGCACCTTACCGGTGCTTCCTTCAAGGAAAGCTGCGGAAGCCCCGGCACCAGGGAGGTGAGGCCTTCGACACAGAGGAGACGTGCCACATTGCAGAGCAGCGCGAGGTTGACCAGAAAGCCGTGGACTCGCAGGTGTCAGCAGACATCGAAGCCGCTCCCCCACTCCAGGGCTGCCTGCGACCGTGCTCGCCCTTACGAATGCAGTTTACCCTCCGTTATCCTCACGAATGGTGTTCGCAAGTTTTTGCCAAGAACCTAACTAAATAACTGATTATAAGAAAAAAAAGAGAGAGAGAGAGAAATTAATTAATTAATTAATTAATTAATTCCTGGCAACCAGCAGTTAGCGTAATGGCTACGTCACTGGACTCCCATGTAGTCGACCGTGGTTCAAGTCCCGGACCCGGTGGTTTAAACTCACGCCGGGTGCGTGTGCGTGCATGCCCAAGATCCCGAGAGGAGAATGGAGGAGAAGGGATTGCGGCGTGGCCATCCCCCCTGGGGGGTGATTTCTCGCTTTCTGTCTCTCTGTCTGTCTGTCCGGCGAGCGCATACGCCCTAGAGCAAAAAACCCTCCAAAAAAGAAAGAAAGGCAGACAGAAAGCTCGAAGTCCCTGCAGGAACACAGGGCGCTGAGCCTTCCTAGAGCTGCGTCTCTGACTCTGTGTGCTAGAACCTCGGAGACCGTTGGCTTCTAGCGTTTTTAGGTACCAGCACCCCCTCCCCGCTAGAGCAGTTTGTAATGTCACCTTCGGATCCGACCCTCGTGTCCCGAGGAATGTCCCTGTCCTGGGAGAAAGGCGAGTCCCTGTTTGGGCTTCCTTTGCGCGCCCGCCCCGCTGTTCTCAGAATTCCGTGGCCGGCCAGTTCGTGGCGTGGTCTCCGCTCCAGGCTGCAGCAGGATCCCGGTTGCATCCTCTTCCCTGTGGGGTGTCTGCTTGGAGTGACCCGTGGGGATCGTGCTCCGAGCCCCTCCGAACTGTCTGCTGCTGTCCCCAGCTGCCATTACCCGGCCCCTCACTCCCGGTCCTTTCAGATCAACGGCGTGTCCAGCGAGAACCTGTCGCTGAGTGACACGCGGCGGCTGATCGAGGAGTCGGACGGGCAGCTGACCCTGCTGGTGCTGAGAGACCGCGGGCAGTTCCTGGTGAACATCCCGCCCGCCGTCAGCGACAGCGACAGCTCCGTCCTGGAGGGTGAGGGGCGGAGGCGGCTCTGGAGGGCGGGAGGGCAGCCGGCACCCGGGAGGCCAAGCGGGAGTCCGAGGGTCAGAGAGTGACCGGGACTTGCCCGAGGCCACACAGCAAAGCTTCATCTTTAAAAAGCTGATTAATTTATGTCTTCTGCGAGCGAGAGAGACAGAGATGGAAACGGAGAGAGATGGCACCCCAGGAGTGTCCCTGCACTGGACCCACCCCTGCCGCAGCCAGCCGGGATCAGGGACCCCGATGCCCCGACGCGCCCGGACCCGGGGCCTTCCCACATGGGCTCGGCAGCGAGGGCCCTGTGTTACTGCTGTCCACCGCGTGGCCCGAGCCACGTCTGGGTCTGGGGTCGGTGCTTCGGGCCCCGCGGCTCCCGAGGCCGGGCGGGGGCGC